CCCCCCCCCAAAACAGCCTAGTCAGTGTACTGAGTATTGAGAATACCAGAGCAAGAGAAAAATTATGCTGTGTCTTATACTTTTCTCTCATTGTTGAGACAAAATACCCAACAACCAAAGTTAGAGGGGAAAGGGTTTATTTAGCTCACAGTTCAGCAGTTTCATTCCATAATCGGCTGGTTCCAAGACAGGTAGCACATGGCAGAGGGCAACAGGTCATGATGGCAGAAGACAACAAAAATAACAAGGGACCTTAACAGTGTCTTTCTGCCCCTTCAATCTTATTCAGACTACTTAGGGTAGGTAGCACTCACACCCTTAATTCTAGTGCCCTTGGACCTAGCTCCTCCATGAATCAATCACACACTCTAGATTCAGCCACCTCTGAAAAAGCATGAGGCTTTGGGGGTACATCTAAACACAAGCCATAATGAGGGAACAGTATGCTAAGGACAAAGCTTGAGAGTAAAGAAAGAACAGGGCAGACAACTCCATGGTATCACCAACGCCTCCTACCCTACCCAAATCCCAGGAGCAAAGTAGCAAGCGGCTGGCTACTTCAGTGTCTTTTCTCAGTGCTTAAGAACCACTGACAGGGCCTGGGGATTTAGCTCAGTGGTTCTGCCACCTGCCTCACAAGCACAAGGACCTGAGTTCGATCCCCGGTACCAAAAAAACCCACAAAAAAACAAGAATTATTCTCTTAGGGGCTGGGGATTTAGCTCAGTGGTTTCGCCGCCTGTTGCACAAGCGCAAGGACGCGAGTTTGATCCCCGGTACCAAAAAAACAAAACAAAACAAAACAAAAGAACCACTGACACCAACCTGTGGCTTCTCGCAATTCCTGGAAAAACTTTTGGTTGAATATAAAGGCCACGCCACTAATCTCTTCCACTTTGGCTTCTGCAGTTGTATTTCGATTAATAAAATTTGCTGTAATGGCAATTGCTAGTTTGCCACGGAATTCTTTTCGACGAAAACCTGGAGGGAAAGAAATGATCAGAAGTGGCAACAGTGAGCTGGAGAAGGAGGGGGACTGCTTCATGTGAGGAGGTTGCTGATGAAGACACTAAGAAAGTGGAGGACATGAGTCAATGGATTTTAGGGTAGTTCTCCATTCTGAAAGAAAGCTGCCTTCCCACCAAAGAATATAATAATTCACCAATGAACTAAAAAAAGTCTCCCTTATTTTTTTTGGGGGGGGGGTACCGAGGATTAAACTCAGGACCTTATGCTTGGGAGGCAGGCAGTGGAACCACTGAGCTAAATCCCCAGCCCAGTCTCCCATATTTTTACCAAACCATTTGAAAAAGAAGGGAAGCGGTTGAGTCAGCTTATTAACACAAAGATTAGATCTCACAGGGCCAACCCTTCCAAGTACAGCTCATCTCCCAGGGCCCTAAAAAGAGTAGCATTGTCTGGAGGAAGGCCAGATGCCATTCAGTTAAAACAGGTAGCACAGGTACACATTCATAGGGGTATGGACTCTGGAGACAGAGTCAGCCTCCACTCTGCTAATATACCAGGTAGCTTTTAGATAGTTTAGATATTTAGCCTCATCAAACTAGTACCTTCCAAGGTGTTCCTACGGCCATCTCCACCGATGATCACTTCAAATTCAAACTCAGACACAGGATGAGTTTTGGGGTGCACTAGTGCTCGCCAACCTATCCCTGTAAGCCAATGGCAAAATAAAGGTCATCAGCTCTAAGCACCATCTCTACGACTCAGGAGTACAGACTGTACCAAATCCCCAGCCAAAAACAATAAGCCAGACAGCAAGTGGGTTTGCAGAGAGCTCACACTTTTCCACCTTCCGATTCTCTGTAATACAAATGTCTGCAAAGTTTACTACTACGTCAAAGGACTCCTCATGAAGCCAAAAGTCCTCAAGAGCACAGATTGTATGAACAAAAAGCACCTTTAACTCATTCTCAAAACTGCTTGCAGAGTCTTCTCATTTTCTCCCTTGTGCTCATCTTCGATCACCCATCCAGTGCCCTTTTGTGCCTTCTCCATTTGTTTAATCCAACTTACGTTCATTCTCTTGGTCCTCAGGAGGGTGTACCAGTCCTTGGAATTCCACATTGACATGGATTTCAATGCCCAAGATCAAAGCTACTTTCAAAAGTATTAGCTGGAGCTGACGGATACCTGGGTGAATACAAAGACAGGTTTGGCAAGGGCATGTGGAGCAGAGATACCCATCAGTGGTCACTCCGTAGGCTCCCACCTATCCACTTGTCCATAGTCCACTCAGGTTTCCAGAGCCATTTGTATGGGCTAGGCTGTAGCTCAGTGGTAGAGCTCTTGCCTAGCCTGCAACAGGCCCTGGGCTCAATCTCTAGTCCTGGATAAAAAGGGCAGAAATAAACCCACACATCAAAGTGTTTTGTAGCAGGAGACAACAAGTCATGATCTACTTCTTTTTAAGGTAAATGCAAACCTGTGAAAGATTTCTAGACTCATACAAGTACACCCTCATCTCTTGAGTGGGGTGCTCTAAACCCAAAATTCAGAGACACATGGGACTGTGGTTAACAGGAGACTCCTTTCCGCCTATCCCAATCCAGTAAGAGCTGCCAGTACCAGCAGTAGCTACAGCACTGACAAGACACAGTCCTTGCTGCAAGACACAGGGAGGCAGGCCTGTGGGCACATGTTCCACAGCTCCACCCAATGCTGCTGCAATGCTTCCGTCCGTTATTTCATGAATGTCAACTGCAGTGTCCCTAACTTCATATGCTTTTACCAAATAAGAAAGGGAAATCATGAGCCTACCATTTCCCCTCCTACCACTGGCCTACACTTGTGGAAACTGAGGCCTAAAATGACTGAGAATCTTGTTTACTATCATAGTGAGATTTTTATATTTATTCAATGTCCAGTGAGTTCCTACCTGGAGCCAGACATGGCAGCAACACCAGGTACAGAGATAGAAATCTAGTTCCTGGTCTAAGACCCTCTCAGTCCCAAAATAAATTCTGCCACACACAAAGGGGACAAACAGTGTGAATTAGTGATCCTTAGTCTTCTCTTAAGGCCAAATGTACCTGCTGTCTATCATAACTAATCTGCCAGGAGCACATTCATACCCTTCCCTGCTATCCGGGTTATTTCCCTCAGCTTACCACAGCCACCACCCTTCCTTCTGAGTCACACGTGCAAAGACTCATTAAGTCACGTGCGAGCACACATTTTATTTCTGCAACAACTGTAGGTTCCAAGATGCTTCACAAATTACAGCCTAGCAGATGGGCAGAGCAATTCCACTGCCAGTGGAATGTGGCAGCTGTCAGCCAGTGCCTAGTAAATCGGCACAACCACTTCACACAGCAAAAGGTCCAGTGGTTGAATGAATTTACAGGACACGTCTGGAGGAGTTCAGAATAAAGGCTCCTTGATAAAACTTCCCTGGAATCATTAGTGATAATCAATTTTTAAAAAGAAGACTTGGGCTGGGGATTTAGCTTAGTGGTACTGTGCCTGCCTCGAAAGCACAAGGTCCTGAGTTCAATCCTTGGTATCAAAAAACCCCACAAAAACCTAAACAAAACAAAAAAGAAAAGACTTCATAATACAGACATTGTTCTGAAGTAGTTTTCAGATAGGCCATTTACACAAAAGTGAAATCCCTGACTGCATTAACTTGCATTCACCTATCTCAAAAAGATATCAGCCCCAACTGAGCTTGGAGATGGCATGAAGAGAGCCAGAGCTGTTCTGGCTGCAGACTTCACAAGAATCACCTAACCAGAGGAATTCTGCAGTCGATTTTCCATTCATGATCAAGCTAGGGCTCTGTTTCTTCTGTAAGCATGGTTTCCTCTGGGCTGCATCCCCACACCAACAAAGCATATGCAAGGTCACACTGCAGAGAGCCACAGCCTGTGTACTTCTGTGGGACTGTTTCCCAAAGCCTGGTCCTCTGTCTGCCTACATGCTGTGAGTTCTCAAGAGTCCACTATCTTGGGCCGGGGATTTAGCTCAGTGGTTCCGGCGCCTGCCTCAAAAGCGCAAGGTCCCGAGTTCGATCCCCAGTACCAAAAAAAAAAAAAGAAAGAGTCCACAATCCACCTCAGACATCCCTAAGCCAGACTCCTAGCATAGGGCACACACTTATAGTTCAGAGTCCTAGCTTATAGAACCACTGGTGGTAGATATTTTAACTCCAAGGAGAGGGTGAGTGCTACATGATAGATACCAATGAGATCAGAACAAACTGGGCAGTTGAGTAGGAATTCTTCATATAACTGACCTGTCTTTTGTCTACTGAACAAGTGTGCAGGGGTGGAATACTACAGGAAAGCTGGTGTTACTCACTGATATGGTCGATGGCTCCAGCACAGAACTTGCCATAGAACTTTTTGGCACCCAGACCTCGCAGATCATGTATGGTGAAGGGCCAGAGATGCAGGACATTGTTCCGGGAAAAAGCATCTCGCTTCTCAATAACAACGACCTTGGCTCCCAATAAAGACAAGTCAATGGCTGTGCGGAGACCACAGGGGCCAGCTCCAATGATGAGACACTGAAAAACACAGCTGTTTTCAGGACAAATGCCAAATTTCTCAAAACACATTTCTAGAGAAGTGTCATGATCTCATAACCATTAATCCCAAAAGCCCTCCCCACTCCTACGAAACCTTCAAACCTGCCTTGGCCCCAGCAGAGCACCTTCAATGACTTGAAGAAGAAGAGCTCATGGTTGCTATGGGTGGAGAAGACTGAACTTTCAGAGCTACAGGTAAGCCCAGCACAGGTCTGCCTTGACAGCCTGTATGACCCATAGATCTGCAACACACTAGAATTTCATCCCAACAAATGACATGAAAAACCACATCTAATCTTTTGTCAATAGGCAAGTTTCAAGTCCTGGAATAGTTCTACTACACAAACAACTCTCAGAGGGCAACTCTCAAGACCCAAATTTTCATGTACTGTAAAGAGTTCTAAAGTCATCATTTCTAGACCAAAAAGTCCAGGAAAATGCTCTTAAAAACCCATGTTCCAGGGCTGGGGATTTAGCTCAGTGGTTTCACCGCCAGCTGTGCAAAAAAAAAAAAATCCATGTTCCAGTACTCATGCTAAGGCTGGACACTGATCTTAACCAGTTTGCAGTATATGCAGAGGAAGAAGACAGCAACATTTTTGGCTTTGCATTCCTTCTATTCTTTTTTTTTTTCCATTCTGGTACCAGGGATTGAACTCAGGACCTTGTGCTTGCAAGGCAGGTGCGGTGCCACTGAGCTAAATCCTTAGCTGCATTCCTTCTATTCTTAATGAAGTCCAGTACTCACTCAAAAGTCATGCCTTGAAATTTTCTGAGTATTGTTGATGAATAACTATTCAAATATAAATCTACTGGAGTGGGTCTCTGGGTATCCACAAAGGGCAAGTTAATGTTCGTGAAAAGACAAAATAACATAGTCCCAAAGTCATTTACATAAGAAGGAACCCAGGAAATATATCTCCCTTTCCACGCCTTCACATCTACACCTACACAGGTAAATGTACACCTCAGGTCTCTGGGGCAGCCTGTCTGTTTCATAGGAACCCCGTTTCTCTACACTGTGAAGAAAGCAACAGAAACACTTCAGTTCACAAGTTCTTGCTTATGAATCAAAACCTTACTTTTAGAATATGGATAAAAGAGTTTGAAGCTTGTGGCAAATCCTTACCAGGTACTGAGTATGCTAAGAACCATGTTCAGATAGGACACCAATGGGGCCTGGCTACATCCTTGCTAAGTGACTTGTACCCTCTTAACAGTACAAGGTTCAAAAGAGCTCTGGCAAAGTAAGTTTCTACCCACCTGCCTTCAAGGGTCTTCTTAAACAGGTGAAAACTTTGTTCAACATGTAAATACACAGAATATGTTCAGATAGATCTGGCATATGAATAGTCAAATGAACACAGTCAAAAGATCTACAAAGTTTCAATGAGGTCTAAGCTTAACTTCCTAGGCTAGGTTAACTCGACTCTGTCTGGTTCTCATTCAGTCTACCTCCATTCAATTCTCCTTTTCTTGTTTTTTTCTTTGTAGTTTTCTCGAGACCAGGTCTCATTAAGTCTCCCAGGCTGGCCTTGAACTCACAGCCACTCTCCTGCCTCAGCCTCCCAATGCTGGGATTACAGGCACACACCATAATACTCAGCTCACTCAATTCTTCTTGCTGGTACCTGGTTAAATCCTCGTGTCAGTGAACCCAGGACCCAAGAGCAGCCGAGCTCCTACCTTGGTGTTAGTGCATGCTTTTCCCTTTTTGTAGTCTTTGTGACTGCCCCGTTTGTCCAACTTTGCCCAGAGGGCTTTGGCCTTCCAGTAGTTGAGTTTGGACTTGAGCTTGTGGTAGAAGGAGCGGTAGTCCTTAGGCTTCAGCTCCAGGTGGTCGCAGAGCTCTTGGAAGGCCTTGAGCGTTCCCTTGCACGTGGTAGCTTGGACGAACCGGTCAAAGAGGATGTGGGCCGGGTTCACCGTCTCCTGCTTACTCTCCTCCATGCTTCCCCACTCTTAGCACCCCCAACACAGGGAGCAGTGGGGTGGCTGCAGACCGCCCAACACTGTCACCTTAACCTAACAAAAAGAAAGAAAAGAAAGAAATGTTCAGCATTTCTATATGTATAGACATTTTCTAGGAGACATACTCTTTTCTGAAGCAGAGTTATCAGGTGATAACACTCATCCATTCAACAGATGTACACTGGAAGATGGCAGGCCCCATCCAGGATGCCAGGGGTGGACACATGAGGGAGACAGCCCCTTGCTTTCAAAGACCGAGAGTGCAGTGGGTCGGACTGACACACAAACAGAACATTACAATGTGCTTCAGCAAGTGCCACAGACAGAGGTACAGAAGAGAAACTAAGGCACAGGGAAGCGGGTCCTCACTGAAGACGCACTGCTGAGAAGAGACTGCAGAGTCCTTCAGGATAACACGGGCTAGCCAGGCAGGAAGAAATGCAGGACATGGGAAGGAAAGTAACAGGCAGGCCTGTGAGGGACGATGACACATCAGAGTAAACAATGATTCCCAGTGTTCTGGGAAATGGCAGCAGCAAGGCAATGGATTAGAAACAGAAGCACTGGGTGTGAGGGTGGGGTGTGAGTGCCCTTCTCCACCTCTCTCTAGGTGGAGGTGCTCATTAGGCAGGGAGAATGAACATGAAGGGTGGGGGAGTGGCTGGGGACACATGCCAGGTCTGGGAGCTGATAGCATTATGAGTGGTAGTAGAACTTCTGAAAGCAGGCAAGAGCATATATGGGCAGACAGGATGAGATACAGAAGCACCAACCTGAAAGAGGCTAGCAGAAAGAATGCCAGAAACAAGACAGAGGTCTGAAGAAAAGCAAAGAGCAGTATGTTAGGAGTCAAAGAAGCAGGAAGCCCAGAAGAAACATCAGCAGGGATTCAAAGGACTTAAAAAGCCTCCTAGCTGGGTGGGGATGTAATCCTAGCACTCTGGGAGGCTGAAGCAGGAAGATGGAAAACAGAAGGAAAGGGGGAGAAGGGAGGGGAGGGGAGGAAGAGAGGAGAGGGAGCAAAGAGGGTCCTCTACAGCATGTGGCATACGCAGGGGAGATGTTAGAGCCATCCCATTTTGCCCATGATCATAATGGGGAGTTAACGATGATGATGGCCACACTCGCCCCTTATCAGAAATATCCATACATCTGTGTCCCATGTGCCTGCCGGACAGAGGCCCACAGGTTGGAGATGGCACCTATGTGCTCCTTCACTTATGCCCTCCCCTGGGCCATTCATCACTTTTGTACCACATTTTATTTATCATCACTAATAGAACTATGTCTTGGAGGTAGCAGGCAAATGACCAATGACCAAAACTAAGCCACAGGAAGAACAGAGTATAGGACAGAGCCACATAGTGGGCGCTTCCATGGCTTGGGGCTACCTGACTCCACAAAAGTCACTGTGCCTCAATTCTCCTTTATGAAAAATGAGGAAAGAATGAAGATCTCTGAAACGCTCTTCTAATTCCAAAGCTCTCCCAGCCTAGTCCTGAGGCTATTCTCCGGATTTATTCCTGGTGCTCTAGCTACAACAGTCCCTCACAGGCTCCATTTTACATGACTAGGTTGGAATTTTGCTTTGAGGGGAATTTATTCTTGGGCCTGAGGGAATTACTGACACACTGCTGGGGTGTGTGTGTGTGTGTGTGTGTGTGTGTGTGCGCGCGCGCTTGCATGCAAAAGCTGAACCAATCTAAGGTTAAGGGAGGCCTCAAGTTGTAGGCAATGATAAAACCAGTCTTCAGGACAGGCAGCAAGCACCCCTGGACATGGACAAGACCCAGGATTCTTCCCTAAAGCTTACTTTGGACAAATCCTGTGCAACAGAACCCCTGTTGTGAAGCTGAAATAATGCTCTGCTTTTCTCCATTTCTGATCATGGTATTAAACAATCACACTAAATCATCTGGAGACATGTCCTAAGCTTCATGACAGGAAGTAATAACTACAGGGCTGGGGATTTAGCTCAGTGGTTCTGCCACCTGTCTCAAAACCCCAAGGTTCTGAGTTCAATCTCCGGTATGGAATGGAATGGAAAGGAAAGGAAAGGAAAGGAAAGGAAAGGAAAGGACAGGAAAAAGGACAGGAAAGGAAAAAGGACAGGAAAAAGGATAGGAAAGGAAGAAGGAAAGAAAGAGAAAGAAAGAAAGAGAAAAGAAACGAAAAATAACTACAGGAACCACCAGCCCTTCATGTGTTCCATGTCAACAGACACAGTGCTCTTTAAGTACTGGGAGGATGAGTCAGATGGTTAATTCTTTCCCTGAAACACAATGACTTGCCTTCTCACCTCAAAAATACTACTTGCTCACCAACCCCTCTTGGCTCTGAATACTAGAAACTGTGCTGCTAATAACATGCTTGTTCTAAAATCCATGTGGTCAAGAGTTCAGTACGAAATGGAATTAGAGGGCTGGAAATGCGGTTCAGTGGTAGAGCACTCACCTAGCATGTGTGTGTGTTCCATCCCAGGAGAAAGAGAGAAAGGGGTGGGGCTGGAGGTGAGGTGGAGGGCAAAAGGAAGTGGGGAGAGAAGATGGCTCTTGTATGGGTAGAAAAAAACTAGATGTGCTTAGGCAAAGACAGAAGAAAGGGTGGCAGGTAACAACCAATGACTGTAAACAAAGATTCCAGACAGCACGTGCTACTTCAAGGCCCTCGGCCTCTTGCTTTCTGTGTGCAGGTCTCAGCAGAGCAGACAGCATTGTGTGATCTTGACCCTGCATTCCCTACCTGTGTTTACAATCAACCCTAATTTCACCAGAGTCACAGAGAATACTTTGGCAAACTTTGAACACACCTGTCTGGTTTACCTCATGTCAAGGAAGAAAATGATTTTTCTTTTTTCCTAAACAGCAGGCACCTCCTACTTCCTGCTGGGATTCAGAGTACTGGGAACAATGAGATTCCTGTTGAATCTACCACATTAAAGATTCCACACCACATCTTTCTAGAAGCCTCTCCCCAGTTCAAACACCTGCCTTGTGGTCCTACCTCCCCCCTCAAAGATCTCTTGGGCATTTATTTCCAAACCAGCGTTCTGCCGTGTGTGTTAACATCCCCATGGCTGGCTGTGGCCCACTCTGAATAAATATTCACTTATGAAGAACTGCTTACCACTACAGAGAATTTTCAAATCAACTCCCACCACAGATGAACGCCTTCATGAGTAACTACTCCTGATCTTTCTGTGGATGTAAAGCACTTTCAAATTAACAGGTTTCACGCGGATGCAAAGCTCTTCTAAATTAACAGGTTTCAGCTGCAGCTCTCGGAGAGCGGCAGGCAAGTATTAGGTACCCAGGCTAAGGATCATAACCTGCAGAGCACTAATGACAACAGATAAACACAGGCAGGTTGGTTTCTGACACAATGTAACAGGCACCTAAGGTAAGACTACACGAGGCTGAGTCCCCTGGGCTGCCTCACTTTTCCTCCTTTGCGAGCCAAACGACACACAAGTTGAGAGTGCCCAGAGTTGCTCAGTGGCTCTGCCACAAGCTGCCTGGCTCATCTGCAGGAGGACCTACCCTGCACTCTGACTCACTCTGAGAATAGCTGGGAAAATGGCAGAAGGGCCATTCCTGTGACTGCCCCCATTTCCCAAGGACAAAGCCATTTATCCTCTCCTCCTGGTCTCCTCTCCTGGCCTACCCCTGTGTACCATTCACCATAGTATCTTGGAAAAATCAGCATTCATAATCACAGGAACATGGAGACCAGGAAACCTAGCCAGAGGTCCCCAGGGCAGAAAATCCAAGGCGTGGGATAAAGGGCTCAGCGAAGTGAGGAGCCTGAGGAGGAACGCGGAAGAAATTCGAGGCCAGGTTTCCAGAGCATCTGCAGTTTCTGCTGGCTGACAATCCCTGCATGTTTTGTCTCGTGGCAGCTGACTGCTGACTCAGACGCTCTGCACATTCCTTGGCTGTGGAGGAAAGTGCTGGGAGACAGACGGCTCAGGAAGCATACACAGGAACAGGGTTCATGCTTCTATTTACAGCAAGAGTAAAGGTTGTCCCTGACTCATGGCTGCTGTGTGAACACTCAGTCTCTAGGTCTTAGAATAAGTGAGTGGTTGTTTGGAGGGTTAGGGAGGGGAATTATCTCTAAAATAGAGATACAAAAGCAACATAGTAAGAATCCTACTTCGAGAGAATAGGACCAGAGTGATTTTAGCTCCTTTCTCTCCCCTTCCCCTGCACCATTAGTAAATCTGCACGGATGCAAACCCCTAATCTTAAAAGGAACCCGTGGAATGCTCTTTCCCAGCCTGCATGCAGTGAGAGGTGCAACGTGTACACAGATCATGGAAGCAGGTGTATGGGAATGCTTGTTTCGGAGTGCTGTTAGGAGGAAACTTAGATGAAAAATGTGTTTCAGATTACTCAGCTTCCCTCATGTTTTACCTCAAAGACAGGGACCCAAATCACAAAATGCCTGAGTTCTCAGGTGACCAGGCTGCTGCTGTCTAAGGATGAGGCCACTGAGGCCTGACTTGGAGGTCAGCAAGTTGACTGAGTTGAAGCCTGCCTGACCGGCGCTCCCTGTACCTCTAACTCTGCTTCTCAACTCTGTTATCTCTTACAACTCTTAGCTAAGGTTCTCTGGTACCTAGGAAGTGAGCTCAAAATAGCATGGAAAGCAGTCTTTCTCAGGCATTCCTTTTTTTTCCCCTCAAGTTTTTGTTTCATTATGGTAAAATACACATACAATAAAATCCCTACCTTATCCATTTTCTTTGTTTGAGATAGGGTCTTACTGTATCACTCAGACGGGTCTCCAGTGATCCTCCTGTCTCAGCCTCCTGAGTGGCTGGGACTACAGACACCTCACTGTGCTTGGCTTGTCATGACCAACTTGAGAACACAGTAGTGCTACTAAATACAGTCACAACTGTGTGCAGCCACCACCCTCTCTCTCTGCAACTCAACCTTCACCCCTATGAACAGCTCCCCATTTCCCTCTCCACTAGCCTTTGGCAAACACTGTTCTGTCTCTACATTTTTATTATTCTATGTGTATCATATAAATGGAATCATAAAATT